TATATCTGGAGTCTAAATTAGGGAAAAGGAGTCAGGCTAGCAAGACCAAGGGAAAGCAAAAATAGAAGGCAAATAAAATATAGGTTTGGCTTTCTTCACGATCCAGGACATGTAGCCCTCCTGCACATATAATGTTCATAAATCACAATCTTACCCCACCCAACTTATCATCAAACACTTCAATTTATCATCAACTACTTTGGATGATGAAAAAATGCAAGTTAGCTCCCTGCAACCTTGGCATTGTCAGTACTGCATGTAGCACTCTTCAGCGCAAGTTACAGACTATAAAATGCCCAGCATCCCTTTGTTTCCTGGCAGGCAGCTCCTCTTCTGCTGACCTACCTATTTCCTTCTAGCAATGTGTTTTCATACTTACTTTAATACATCTGTCTTTCTTTACCTACAACTGTCTTGGTAAATTCTTCTTACTCCCATGCCACCAGCCCCAGATTTCTGCTCACTCAGAGAATATACGAAATTATTTTGTTCTAAATCCAATAATAAAAATAGATAGTATGAATACACACACACACACTCACACACACACACACACACACACACACCCCACATAGATATAACACAAAACATACAAACTAGTTCTTTCTTCGCCAATAGATTTATTGAGATGTAAGACCTAGTGAACATAAAAGTTGACTATTTGATGTTAAATGTAAATTTCAAATAGGTTTTTAAACATTATCTAAAAAGCAATAAGAGGAAAGTAGAGGAGGAAAATAGTGACTTTCATATATTCACTGTTGTAGAAAAAGGAAATAAAGAAAAATCAGTTCATACTTTCTCCAAGACTGAAAAGGAAAGAAGCATAAGCATTCTCAGCAGTGGCATTTTTCCCCCTGTGGAATTGTAAGCATGTGAAAACTGTAGGATAGGGCTGCAAGTGCTCTCACCATCATGTCTTTACCATAGCTGCTATTATGACATTGTGTGACAAAAAGATCCTGGAAATTCAGCATATGCCACCATTCACATTCACATTTTTGCTATACATGACTCTTCTCCTCAAAACTTTCATATATTTTACTTAAAAACTAAAGGAAGTCATTTATACTTCATTCTCTACATTTTTCACTGAGTCCAAAGTGAAATTTAGGTCAACATATAGCAACCACCACCAGTTAGGAAATCCTCTGTGTGACCTGACGGACAAGCTTCTTTAATTATTACAAAATATATGGAATCACATAAGCAGTGATCTAACCACATTTTCTTATTTGCATAGAGCTCTGCCTCCTCATGGGAAAACATTTAAACATGCCTTCAATAGAGGTTAGACTATTTATAGGCAAGTCTGATAGACCATGGAATGGGATGTCTTTTGGATGTCATAGAGTCATTCTCTGAGATAAAAGCAGCATAAATAAGGAATGTGAGTCAAGAAAGACCAAATTCAGCAGGGCAGTCTGAGTGAATGCAGAACATTGTGAGACTATACTTTTCCTGAGATGCCCTTCACGGTTGTGTTTGGGACAAGGAGAGGCCTGGATTGTATATGAGAACAGAGAGACTGGCTCCAGTATCCAGAAGGAGGTCTACTCTCCTTCCTTCAATTTCCAGAATCACTTGGGGCTCCTGGGCAGTAATGGCAGTTTGGGCCACTGGAGTCAGGGAATTGAGCCCTGGGACCTGTCAGTCCTGTTGGATCATTTGTGAGACCAGTTCTGGACACAGTGACCTACGTCTCCAAGGGCAATATGATCCCCAGTGGTTCCTGCCACAGGCTAGACAGGGTTGAGGTGGCTTCTTCTTACTGTCTGGACACTTCTTCTTAAAGTGTCCTGATTTGCCACACCAGTAGTAATTAGTGGATGTGCCTCGGGGATTCTAGACTTTATAGGCTTCCATCCATCTCCTTTGTTTCCTCTGTTTTTCCTCAGCCTTCTCCTGATCCTTATTGTAAAAGGCCAAGGTGGGTACCTGCAGGAGGTTCTCCAAAGTACTATCTGGACCTATAGTCTGTTTCTGTAATTTTCTTCTAATATCAGGGGCTGAGGAATAAACTTGTCCTTTAGGATTAGCTGTCTTTCAACTGAGTCAGGAGACATGGAAGTGTGTTTTATTAAGGCCTCTCTCAGCCTTTCCATGAAAACTGAGGGATTCCCATCTGGTCTCTGATCTATTGTGAACAATTTAGAGCAATTAAGAGGTTTGGCCCTAGTTTTTAGTAGGCCCTCCAATATGTACATTAAAAAGTGTTTCATTTTCCATTCATCTGTGGGGTCACTAGGGTCCCAGTCAGGATTTTCAAGCGGTATTGCCTCTCATCCTATTGGGAATGGTTTTTCCGTAATTTCCTTACCTTCCTTATCTCCTCTTTTCCTTTTTGGCCCGTCATAAGAAACATGTTGTTCATCCCTGAATTTTTCTGTTGCCTCTAGAGCTGTCTGCCTTTCAGTGGCTCTTAGGGTTTGGTTTAAGAGTAATATAACATCTTTCCATGTGAGGTCACACAACTGGGCTAAATTTTGGAAAGCCTCTACATACCTGTCAGAGTCATCAGAGAACCTACCGAGGTCTTTTATTGGTCTAAGGTCTTATAATAAGAAGGGAACCTGAACCCTAGTGGCACCACACCCATCAGGCATTTCTTGTAGTGGTAAAAGTGAAACTGGGGAAGTGGGGAGTTTTGAAAGTGTTGAACTGGAGGAGCCAATGGTGCAGTTGGAGGAGGGGGTCCCAGATAAAACGGACAAAAAGACTGAGATACTCAATAGTTGTCTCACAGAATAACCCAGCAACTTGTTTTCTTAGCTTTGGGAAATCATTCCCCATGGTGATATGATTGCTAAAAGAGCTGGGTCAATTGTGGATCACTTGTAGAAGTCTGCGTTGTCCCACAGGGCAAAGAAAGTCTGTACATAGGGGAACTCGGACCATTTGCACTCCCATCTAAAGAAAAGATCTAATTGTTGGATAGTATTCAAATGAAGATTTCCCTCAGAAGGTCAGGTTTGTCCATGTTCAAGCTGGTAAGAAGGCCAAATCCTTGTGCAAAAGAAAGTGAGCTGCTTTTTCTTCAGAATTTCAGGGTCAAAGGAGTTCTAGTGCTTCAGAATGCATTTGAGAGGAGTGCAGGCTGAAGATGTTTGTTAACCATCTAGAAAGGTGTCCATGAGTCTTCTCCCTTTGTTTGGAGTGACCCAGGTGGAGAGGAACGCAGTGGGGACATCCCCCCTATTATCCTTCTTCCTTTGTTGCCTGTGCCTCAGCATCTATTAAAGGTGTCATCCATGGATGTAAGTGTGACCTCCACCCGTGGACCCAGAGGAGTGGGTCAAGCAGGAATGGTCACACTCATCTGTGTGAGACCCTAGTCCTCTGCTGAGAACACCCCTTTGATTCCTTAGATTTGTGTGGTTGGCATGTCCCTACTATAGAAAGATCTCAGGAAAGACTATACAACTGTTGTATTTGAGCCAGGCCCTTCAGTGAAGGGAGTATTCTGGGTTGAGTCATATATTCTGTTATTATGGCCCAAGTTAAAGTATCTATCCTTAGTCTGTTGATTGACTTTTAAACATAGAATCTCTTCTTTATTTAAATGTTATTCTAGTTGGAGGCAGAATAGGTGTCTCAAAAGAATATAAGGATCATGACTGTCTTTCTGTTGATGGAGACAGTATGGAGGCCAATATCTGTTGATGGAGACAATATAAAGTATTAGAAGAACTGCTCTCTCCTCTGCGTCATAGGCAGTGTTTTCCTGTTCACAGAGAGGACATAAGTTCTGGTCTCTAGTAGAGGGGCTCAATAGGTAAAAGAATTGGGAAAGCAGAGGCTTTTGGCCAACAGCCAAGTTTCCCCGTGGAGAAGATTTCCATTCCACTAGGTGGCATTATAAACCTGGAACTAACAGGCTGTAGTTTTGTTTCCAAATGCTCTCTAGACAATGTGTTGAGAGAGAGGTCTGAGGTATGACAGGCCATCCCCACAACGCGCCTCCCAGTAGGAGAAAGTTAGTTTGTCTCATAGAAAGCCTATCTAGTTCAACTAGGCAGTGCTGATTCCTCACATGGGAAAAGAAACAGCCCAAATGAAGAGGGAACCACTCACTGGCAGGGCAGGGGGGCAGTGTTACGGGAAGTCAGGGACCCCGAATGGAGGGACCGACTGAAGCTGTGGCAGAAGAACATAAATTGTGAAGATTTCATGAACATTTATTAGTTCCCCAAATTAATACTTTCATAATTTCTTATGCCTGTCTTTACTGCAATCTCTGAACATAAATTGTGAAGATTTCATGGACACTTACCACTTCCCCAATGAATGCGCTTGTGATTTCCTATGCCTATCTTTAATCTCTTAATCCCATCATCTCTGTAAGCTGAGGAGGATGTATGTTGCCTCAGGATCCTGTGATGATTGAGTTAACTGCACAAATTGTTTGTAGAGCATGTGCTCTTGAATAATAGAAATCTGGGCACCTTGAAAAAAGAACAGGATAACAGCAATGTTCAGGGAACAAGAGGGATAACCTTAAACTCCGACTGCCAGTGAGCCGGGCGGAACAGAGCCATATTTCTCTTCTTTCAAAAGCAAATAGGAGAACTATCCCTGAATTCTTTTTCTCAGCAAGGAACATCCTTGAGAAAGAGAATGCGACCCTGAGTGTAGGCCTATGAATGGTCTCCTTGGCAGCGGCTGTCTTTTACGGTCAAAGTCAAAGGGATGAAATAAGTCCCGGTCTCCTGTGGTGCTCCCAGGCTTATTAGGATGAGGAAATTCCCACCTAATAAATTTTGGTCAGACAGGTTGTCTGCTCTCAAACCCTGTCTACTGATAAGGTGTTATCAGTAACAATGTGTGCCCAAAACTTCATTAGCAATTTTAATTTTGCCCCATCCTGTGGTCCTGTGATCTCGCCCTGCCTCCATTTGCTTTGTGATATTGTATTACCTTGTGAAGCATGTGATCTCTGTGACCCACACCCTATTCGTGCACTCCCTCCCCTTTTGAAAATCACTAATAAAGTCAGGTCCTGGCAGCGTCTGCAGTGCTCTTGTCTACTGCGGCTCTCGGTGCCCATTCCTTTTCGTTTCTGGAAACATGGCCTCCGGTGTGGCTGTCTCTGTTGGTGTCATCAAGGTGTTCAACGACATGAAGGTGCGTAAGTCTTCAATGCCAGAGGAGGTGAAGAAGCGCAAGAAGGCGGTGCTCTTCTGCCTGAGTGAGGACAAGAAGAACATCATCCTGGAGGAGGGCAAGGAGATCTTGGTGGGCGATGTGGGCCAGACTGTCGACGACCCCTATGCCACCTTTGTCAAGATGCTGCCAGACAAGGACTGCCGCTACGCCCTCTATGATGCAACCTATGAGACCAAGGAGAGCAAGAAGGAGGACCTGGTGTTTACCGCTACGCCCTCTATGACACAACCTATGAGACCAAGGAGAGCAAGAAGGAGGACCTGGTGTTTATCTTCTGGGCCCCTGAGTGTGCATCCCTTAAGAGCAAAATGATCTATGCCAGTTCCAAGGATGCCATCAAGAAGAAGCTGACAGGGATCAAGCATGAATTGCAAAACTGCTACGAGGAAGTCAAGGACCGCTGCACCCTGGCAGAGAAGTTGGGGGGCAGTGCTGTCATCTCCGTGGAGGGCAAGCCTTTGTGAGCCCCTTCTGGCCCCCTGCCTGGAGCATCTGGCAGCCCCACACCTGCCCTTGGGGGTTGCAGGCTGCCCCCTTCCTGCCAGACCGAAGGGGCTGGGGGGATCCCAGCAGGGGGAGGGCAATCCCTTCACCCCAGTTGCCAAACAGACCCCCCACCCCCTGGATTTTCCTTCTCCCTCCATCCCTGACGGTTCTGGCTTTCCCAAACTGCTTTTGATCTTCTAATTCCTCTTGGGTTGAAGCAGACCAAGTTCCCCCCAGGTACCCCAGTTGTGGGGGAGCCTGTATTTTTTTTAACAACATCCCCATTCCCCACCTGGTCCTCCCCCTTCCCATGCTGTCAACTTCTAACCGCAATAGTGACTCTGTGCTTGTCTGTTTAGTTCTGTGTATAAATGGAATGTTGTGGAGATGACCCCTCCCTGTGCCGGCTGGTTCCTCTCCCTTTTCCCCTGGTCACTGCTACTCACGGAAGCAGGACCAGTAAGGGACCTTCGATTAAAAAAGACAATAATAAAAAGGCTCATTAAAAAAAAAAAAAAGAAAAAAAAAAAGAAAATCACTAATAAAAACTTGCTGGTTTTACAGCTCAGGGAGCATCACAGAACCTACTGACATGTGATGTCTCCCCCGGATGCCCCCCTTTAAAATTTCTCTCTTTTGTACTCTTTCCCTTTATTTCTCAGACCAGCAGATGCTTAGGGAAATAGAAAAGAACCCACGTTAAATATCAGGGGTGGGGTTTACCCCAATAGGCGGGGGATAGACCCCTGTCTAACCCTAGGAAGTGTCAACATTGGGAGTTAAATGATCTCTTAGACCCAGATCGTGAAATCCTCCTGTTTCTAAAAAATTGCAAAAATAGTAATCTCTCAAGCTACATTCTTGATTGCTAAGGCACTTGTTAATCCTTCCTAACAAGTCTATTTCCCCAAGTTGTTAAAAACTGCCACACCATTGTATACAGAGAGGGAATAGGAGACACAGTAGCCATGGAAAGAAAGGGAGAAAACTGTGGTAGGAAAAGTTTGGAGGTTCTGTTGCCAATACCCACTGGGCATTCAGGGGCTGCAGTTAGTCCAGAAGCCTTCAGGTAACAACAGGGTGTGGCCCCAGCCAGAAACTTTCAGTTGCCTCAGGACCTTTTCCAGCCCCATGCAAAGGCTAGGCTCTCCATGAAAGGAAACCAGTCTGGAGAAGAGCCAACATTCCCAACACACTGAGTATGTTGAGGGATTAGCTAAGTCCTCCCCAGAAAGCCTGTCATCTGTGTCTTTAGACAGGTGGCCATGCTTGTCATGTTTAGATGGCCAACAGATGCCTGGTGGTTTTCTTGATTTGATAAAATTAAGGACCAGAGGGCTCGGAAATGAAAGTAAAGAGTTGGGGTCTGCTCCAAGTCACCTTTTCAATGAAATCCTGGATGAGCTTCCAAAAGGAAATGGTCTCAGTGTCTGAGGTGTCACCTGAGGTTCTTAGCCTCATGGCCCAGGAAATCAAGGATGTGGACACTCAAAAGGTGAGGTTAGAGTAGAATTTTAATAAGTGAATGGAAGAAAGTTCTCTGGAGTAGAGAGGGGTCCCAGAAAGATGGGTTGTCATTTTACAGAGAAAAATAAGGGTTTTAATAGATAAGTTGTTCAGGAGGGGTGTTTCATTTACATAAGGTGTGAATTTCTGAGTCCCCACTCCACCCTTCCTAGTGTGTATGTGGGCTTCTTCGTTTGAATTATTCTATGTTGTCTCTTCCTGTTGTGTATGTGTAAAAATGGCAGTGGGGTAAAACACTAAGGTGGAGGTGTCTGGTTCAGGGTAGTTCTTATCAGTGTTGTTGTAGGTACTCCTCCTGTGTAAATCTCCTTGTCTATTTTTTTCTTTTTTCCCTTTTGTTTTTTTGTTTTTTTGTTTTGTTTTGTTTTGAAATGGAATCTCACTGTGTCACCCAGGCTGAGTGCAGTGGCGTGATCTTGGCTCGATGCAAGCTCTGCCTCTTGGGTTCATGCCATTCTCCTGCTTCAGCCTCCCAAGTAGCTGCGACTACAGGCACTCACCACCATGCCCAGCTAATTTTTTGTATTTTTTTAGTAGACATGGGGTTTCACCATGTTAGCCAGGATGGTCTAGATCTCCTGACCTCGTGATCTGCCTGCCTTGGCTTTCCAACATGCTGGGATTACAGGCGTGAGACACCACGCCTGGCCTGAGTATTTCTAAGAAGGGAGAGGACTGTGTTTACTGGGGTCCACTGTATGTCACATGGGAGGCCCCTTTCTGTGTTAAGAGTTTGTCTCCCTTATCTGTGTTTGTAGCCTGTTCTCTCAGGCTGCTCTTTGTTGAAAGAGAAATGACCTCTTGGGTTGTTTTTTGTTAGAAGGGAATTCTACTGAGGATCCTTGTCTTAATTGCCTAGTTGATTTCTCTGTCTCTCTTCTCACAGTATTTTTAATTTTACCTCTCTTATGGTATGTAATGGATTTCATTGTGATTTTTATTTTATATTTCCCTGATGAGTACAGATGTTCAGTGTCTTTTGCATTTTGCAGATCTTCAGCTGTGAAATGTTGCTACAAATATTTTGTCTATTTATAATTGTGTTGTACTTCTACTATGTAATATTAAGCATTTTTTGTATGCTCAAAATATAAGTTCTTTGATATGTATATGGCAAATATTTTCTACCACTTTTTGGCTTATCTTTTCACTTTTTAAACAATGTCTTTTGCGTGTTAGAAAGTTTTGATTCTGAAAAAGAACAATGTGTCTGTGTGTAAGTATGATGTATACACACAGAGATATACATACACTATTGTGTCTCACTTAATAATGGGGATACGTTCTGAGAAATGCATCCTTAGGAGATTTTGTTGTGCTACCATCACAGAGTGTACTTACACAAACATAGATGCTATAGCCTACTACATACATGGGTAACATATACCTAAACATATCTAAACATAGAAAAGGTACCATAAAAATACAGCATAAAAGATTTTTAAATGATAAACCTAGATAGGGTGCTTATCATGAATGAAGCTTACGGGACTGGAAGTTGCTCTGCTTGAGTCAGTGAGTAAGTGGTGAGTGAATGTGAAGGCCTTGGACATCCCTGTATACTACTAGAGACTTAATAAATATGGTACACTTTGTCTCCACTAAATTTAATTAAAAATTTTTTCTTTAATAATAAAGTAACCTTAGCTTACTGCTACCTTATAAGCATTTTAAAAAATGTTTAACTCTTTTGTAATAATTCTTAGCTTAAAACAAACACACTGTACAGCTGCACAAAGATATTTTCTTTCTTCCTAATCTTATAAGTATTTATTTACGTATTACTTTTTAAATTATTATTTTTTTTAATGAAGACAAAACACCCATATTAGCATAGGCCTACACAGGGTCAGGATCATGAATGTCACTGTCTTCCATCTCCACATCTTGTCCCACTGGAAGGTCTTCAGGGGGAATAACATGCAGGAAGATGTCATCTCCTGTGATAACAAGACCTTCTTCTGGAATATCTCCTGAAGGACCTGCCTGAGGCCATTTTACAGTTAACTCTTTTTAATAAGTAGGAAGAGTACACTCAAAAATAATGATTAAAGGTATAGTTTAATAAATATGTGTACTAGTAACACAATCGTTTATTTTCATTATCAAGTATTATATACCATACATAATTGTATGTGCTATATTTTTATTCAACTAGCAGTGCAGTAAGTTTGTTCACATTAGCCTCACTACAAACACATAAGTAATGTGCTGCACTATGATGTTATGATGGCTATGTCACCAGGTGGTAGAAATTTTTCAGTTTTATTATAATCTTACAGGATCTTATGTGGTTCATTGTTAACGGAAACACCGTTATGCAGCACATGATGATAATATATAAGTACTTATGGTTTGTGATTTTGTGTCCTGAGAAATCTGTGCCCAATCCAAGATCGCGAAGATATTTTACCTTCTTTATTAGACGTGTTACAGTTTTAGCTGTCACATTTAGATTTCGGATCTCTTTCCAATTATTTTTCTATGTGTATATGGTGTAAGGAAATAGTTATTTTTTAAATCACTATCACTTTTATCAGCATCATTTTTGAAATTAGAGAAAAATACTTTCCTATTGGGGTGCCTTTGTTGAAAAGCAATTGACAAAATATGTATGGTTCCCTTTCTAGATTATCTCGCCATATGTCTATCTTTTGCAAACATCATGCTGTCTTTATTACTGCAGCTTTATAATATGGTTTGATGTTAAGAAAAGTAAATTAATCCGGTTTGCTCTTTTTTTCCCAGAATTGTATTGTATTTTTCCTTTACCCCGTCTGTTAAACATTTGAAGGAACATGTCCATTTCTACCCCATTCCAAGAACAAGAGCCTGCTGAGATTTCAAATGTACTTGCATTGAATCTATAGATCAATTTAGGAAAAACTGACATTTTAAAATGGTTGAGTCTTCCAATACCTGTACATGCACATTTTAAAACTTGTTTGAGGTTTTATTTTCCTTAGCAACATTTCGTAATTTTTAGTAGTAGTTTCAGGACTTGCACATACTTAGCTAAATTTATCTCTAAGTGTATCATAATTTTGGAAGCTAGTTTAATCTGCATTTTAAAAATATTAATATTCTAATTGTTCATTGCTAGTATACAGGTATTTTTTGAATATTACCCATTTAATTAATTGCCTCAAGAAATTCACTTATCCGTTGTTTTAGCTTTTTGTAGATTCCTTTGTTTTCCTAAATATTCAATAAAGCCTTATAAGAATAGAAACAGTTTCACTAATTCATTTTCAATTTTTATGCCTGTATTTTATTTCCTCTATTTGCCTTGATGTACCAGGTAGGCACTCCAGTAAAAACATGTGTAGACTGGGAAGAACAGCATCAGTCTTTTTCCTGATGTTAAGAATGAGATATTCAGTATTTCATCTTTTAGAATATTTCTTCATTTTAATTAGCCCTTTATTCTGTTGAAATCTCTTCTGTATCAGGTAGTTGATAGATTTTTATCCTAAACTGATGCTGAACTATGTCAAAGTTTTTATCTATATGTATTGAGATAATCAAATGCCTTTGCTTCTCAGTTCTTGAAATGTATATTGGGGCACTTGAATTGATTGATTTTGTAATGCTAAACCAACGATGCATTCATGAAAAAAATTCCACATGGCTAGGGTATATTATTCTTTATGAATATTGCTAGATTGTATTTGCTAACATTTTCAAAAAAAGTTTTTGCATCAGTGCTTAAGTGTATTGTTTTGAAGTTGTATTTTCTTCTAAAGCTGTTATTTGGTTTGGCTCTCAAGAAATTGCTAGGTTTTTTCTGAAGAAGTGAAGCTAAAAATCCCCTTTTCCTCAAGACATGGAGCCGAAAGCCATTTTTTTCTCAAGAAATTGAGCTAAAATTTCTTGAGAAAATGGAGCTAAAATGTTAACTCAATTTCCCATTTTCAAGGTTGAAAATGAATGGCTATTGTTAAAAAGTCAAAAAAATAACAGATGCTGGGAAGG